GGGAAGGGAGACAGTGGTCAGTGTGAGATATGAAAATAATAATAATTTATAATCTATCAAGGGGTCATGAGGGGGAAGAAGGAGGGGGGAAAAGATGAGCTGATACCAAGGGCTCAATAGAAAGTAATTGTCTAGAAAAGAATGATGGCAGCATATGTACAAATACAATTGATGTATGGATTGTAGTAAGAATTGTAAGAGCCCTCAATAAAATGACCCCCCAAAAAAATCCATCTACTGCAGCGGTTCTCAACCTGGGGGTTACAACCCCTTTGGGGGTTAAACAACCCTTTCACATTTCCAATGGTCTTAGCAACCGAGACACCACTCCTCTATCTATCTCAAGGCGGGTCCGCCCACGTGCAGATACGCCCACACACGGGGTCACCACAACATGAGGAACTGTGTTCAAGGGTCGCAGCTTTAGGAAGGTGGAGAACCACTGATCTACCGCAAAAGCCCTCTTCAAGGTGTTGAAGAGCAAAGATGTCAGCGAGTACATGAAGGTAAGCCTGAACTAAGTCAGGTGTTTTCACCCTGCTCAGGTGCTTGTGACAGCTGGCCCTGTAAGGCAGACCGAGGAAGGATGGCTCTGGGTGATGGCGCTGGCCAAGAGGGAACAAACTTGTGTTGGCAGTAGTCAGAATGCTCCTTAGCAGCGAGGGTGACCAGGCTTCCTCTCACGGATGGCAGACATGCCACGGGGCATGCACAGGCCCCAGACAAGGACGCGGGGCTGGGTAAAGGGGAGGGTCGGTGAAAAAGAGGAAGACCCTCAACAAGATAGATCGACAGTGCCCAAAACCCTGGGCTCAAACACAGCCCCCACTGGGAGGGCGGCACAGGACAGACTGTCTTGTTCTGCCATTGGGGGGGCGGGCGAGGTGGCACTATGAGGGCACCTAACAGCGACAAGCATGAGCCCCGAGGCCCAGCGCCTGCTTACCTGCGGCAAGGCAATGAGGAAAAACAATTACGTTCATATCCGAAGCCCTGGGGTGTTGGTTTGTTTTCAGTGACATAGTGGTGACGCGTGAGGCTGTCCGAAACTAGTAGCTGCTCCTCAGACTGGGCCTCCTTCTCCTGGACACAGTCTCAAACTCACAGGGGCAGTGCTACCCTGTCCTGTAGGGTTGCTGTGAGTCGGCGTCTCCTCCAAAGCAGTGAGGTGTGAGCTTGAGTAATTTGTATCCTCCTTTGTCCATTCACCTCAGCTCCTTTCCACTTCTAGACACTTGCCTATCCTGTTTCACGTAAGATCATTCACGGCTTGTCCTTTTGCGTCTGGGAGAGCTTATTTAATGCGCTCAAGGGTCTTCCAGGGATTATTTATCAGAGAACATCCCGTTATATATGCACATACCTCAAAGGCATGTCTAAACGTTTTGCTACTAGAAACCCAGTGCATTCTCACAATACACGTCTAACGAGATCACACCCACTGTTCTCAGTGGTTAGCGGCAGACGTCTCTCCGTCACACACCCGTCTTCGACCCGTTGCAGTGTCTGAAATAAAAGGTCCAGCAGCTTCTGAGGGGATCTGCTGGCCCAGTACAAGTCCACGCAGAGGTCAGCTCAGAAAGCTACAGCTACTGTTCTTGGGACCCCAAAGGGATGGTCTTGATAGATTTTCTCAAAGGACACAAGTCCCCCAGGGGAGCTTATTAGGAAGTCTTCAGACAATTAAAACTGTGTGGGTGTGGGAAAGGGCAGGTAAGCTATGCCATCATGAGAGCACCCTTGGGCCTTCTTCGAGGGCAGCCAGAGCTGACCTAGAATTTAATTGGGAAACTGAACCCCTTCCAGCCCACAGTCCTGATCTTGCCATGTCAGATTTTTTATTCCCCAAACTCAGCATTTAGAAGGAACCCAGTGTAAGGCCCCGGGGCATGCTCAAACTGCCACGTGGCTGTGGTGCACACCTCAGAGCTCAGAATGCTTCTGGAAAGGGAAAGACAGAATGTCCCCCGCGAGGTGGAGACCTGGATGGAGGAGATGTTGAGAAACAGTAGACAGGGCTTCACATTTGAGTGTTTTTGTTCCACGCAGGCTTCTAAGATCTTGCGGCAGTGCTTTTTGACTTACCCTCATGTGATGCTTTATCCATTCAACTGTTGATGGAAATTTAGGTGCAAAGAACCCTTCTTTGAATAGAACATAAGCACATGATCACATCAAAATCTTCTTCATAATGCCTATTAGTATCAAAAAGCCAGTCAGTAAGGGCTTTCTCCACATACGTTTGTTTTGAGGATCTAACTGCACTGCCATGGAGAAGTTCACTTCAATTTGGGGTCTGTGATTTTTGCTTGACTCGGTCAATAAGGTGGGAGGGAGTCAAGGAAGAGCCCTCCACCCACCAAAGAGACAAAGCAACTGGCTCTGCGTGAGAACAGACCAGCCAAGTTACAGCAGCACTCCACAGGAGGGCAAGAAATAGACATGACAGCCATGTGCCGCTGGGCTCCCAGTCCACCTGCCAGCTCGTGGAGAGCCCAGCACCTGAGTCCTGCATTCCCCAGCTCTGTAACGAGGTAAGGAGTCCCTAGGTGGTGCAAATGGCTCAGTGTTCTACAGAAACTGGAAGCCTGGTGGTTCGAAACCACCCAGAGATGCCTCTGAAGTCAGGCCTGGTGATCCGCTTCTGACTGGCCAGTCTTGAAAACCCTAGGAAGCCTGTGCTATATTTTCAACCACCAGAGTAGCTGCTAAGAGGCAGCTTGTGTACAACCAAAAACCTCACAGGACTTGGTTTGGGGGTTTAGGGTCATGGATCTCACTATCAGTTGGCCTGAGAATATGTTTGTCCAGGGCTTCTATTCTGCCTCTTAATTCTTTGGATAAAGCCTTGGCACCTCACGGTGGGCCATCCAAGGTGTGGCTGCCTGCGGCAGTTATATCATCTCCTGTCAACTTGAGCGAAGGGGTGGAGTATGGTCTGTCAATCGGGTCATAGCCAATGATACCTCTGTGTGGGCATGGCCTTCTCCTGAGGATTCTGGGAATTCCCGTCTTCCTCCCTGGAGGTGGGACACACACTCTCTCTGCTTCACATGCTGTTGACAAGCCACATGAAGCAATGCTGATGGCAGCCGGAGCCCTGTAGCTGGAGGAACCACATGAAGAGGCCTGCCAACACTGAGATGCTTCCACAAGACTTTCCACCCACTGGCCTCTGATCTTCCTGCTCTCGGCAGCATTGCATGAGTGAGTCTGTATAAGAATTTATGGACTACTATCAAACAAATGGACTAATATGACTTAGGAGCTAATATCGAACTTATGGACTTGATCTGGCCAGGATGTTTTAATATACAAATACTCTTGGATATAAAACTCTCACATACGCGCAAGTGTCTCTTCTCGTCGACCCAGGCTCACACACTGCCTCCATGAATTTGCCCCCTGTGCCACAAGACCAGAAGAGCTGGGTGAGGCCCAGCTACCACAACGGAGCATTTTGATCAGAGTCCACACCAGAACTCTGACCAGCGAAATACAGAATGTCAGCTTCTCAGGGGCTCTCCACTCCCTGGAGCCACATGTAGTGGATGAATCCCTGAAACTACTGCCATGTGAGATCTTTAAAACTTTAGTCCAACTATAGAAAAGTGAGTGAAGGGAGACGTCAGACAGTGCAAGACATGACAAAATAATAATTTATAAGTTATCAAGGGTTCGTGAGGGAGGGGGAAAAATGAGGCGCTGATACCAAGGCCTCGAGTAGAAAGAAAATGTTTTGAGAATGATGATGGCAACAAATGTACAAATGTGCTTGACACAATGGATGGATGGATGGATTGTGATAAGAGTTGTATGAGCCTCCAATGATTAAAAAACAAAACAAAAAATCATCATCATCATACTAACAAGACTGTGACCATACTACACAGAAATACTAGGTTAAAAAAAAGAACCCTGGTCCAAAATACCCTGATGTCTTCTGAAAATTAATGTTAGTAAATTCGTAAAAAAAAGTCTGCCTCGAGCATTATGTTTTGCAAAACTCTATGGGACCAATTGGCAGCAGCAACTCCAGAGATCAGTATGAGCCTGAGGGGCAGCGAGTCCCTGTTAACAAGGAAAGAACACGTTGGGAAAGGAGGATGAGACGGGCGCCCAGGTAGAGGGACGTATCTGGACACTGAATGGGACACATGGAACTGTTACATTGGGCTATTTTTGCTGTGTGTGCATTTTCAACAAAATGTTTAAAACAAAAACCTATGGGGCAGTTATACTGCACATATCAGGATGGATCAGCACAGCACTAGCAAAACCCCCCCCCCCCGACACAAACTCACTGCCATGGAGGCAACCCCAACCCAGGGCAGAACTGCTCAAGGGTTTCCAAGACTCTTTACAGGAGTTGAAAAGCTCATCTTTCTAACCCAAAGAGCGTCCGGTGGTTGAAAACTGCTGACCTTGTTTGTGGTTAACAGCCCAAGGTCTGACAGCCCCCTACCTAAGAAAGCGGGAGTCAGTAAGACCATGGTTCTGTACAGTAAGAAGGATTGAAACAGTGAATGGAAAGCATAGTTTTCAGTGCTTTTGTACCTCATACGGTTTATACAGTTACTGGATTAATTAAGTTCCCGCTGAATTCTCCAGCCGACAGATGGTCCCAGGACAACTAAGTAAATGCTCGGTTTTCTCCATCGACAGGGATGAAGTTGGCCACAAAGCTACCGAGGCCTCTTGCATTTCAACACTCAGCCATCAGTGCCAGGCCTAGGGGGCCAAACGAACAGCTCGCGCTTTCTTTTTTTTTTTTTTCTAAATCATTTTATTAGGGGCTCATACAACTCTTATCATAATCCATACACACATCGTGTAAAGCGCATTTGCACATTCATTGCCCACAGCTCGTTCTCTTTCACTGAGGAGTTTTTTAAGTCTCCAAGTACTTCAACCCTTACAATGTAAATCCAGGGTCTTGAAAGGAAGCATGCCTCAATCGGAGCATCTAATTAAAAAGAAGAGGCAAAGCAGACAAAGAATCATGACTTTTTCCCCCTTACTTTTATTTATAAAGAACATGACTCCTCTAGATGCAGACACAACACGCATTCCGAGGAGGCCGAGGAGAATAAAACGACGAGAGCACAGGGGGAAGCTTACGTAACACCAGTCTAGGCACCCAGACTCGAAAATCCTTCAGGATGCTTCCCCAGACACGCAGTCCTCCCCCTAGACGACACGACGGAGACCCTTGTGGGGTGCTCCCACCCCACCATGAGGCAGAACAGCAGAACTCAGTCTTCAGCATCATCGAACTGCCCCGTCTCAAAGACCATCTTGGAGTAATGGGGTATCAGCGGAGGGGGGTGGTGCCAGCTGGGGTCATAGACCATGTCTCCTTGTGGGGCACAGCACACCCAAGGTTTGATCTCTTGAGAAATGCTCACCTGGATGTCGTCAGCATCTGCGGACAGTTTTAAAAGGCAGATTAAAAGGAGGAGACCTGGTGGAAGGGGTCAGCCCAAACCAAGTATGTCCAAGGAACACACACTTAATGCTTCTCTCGAACACATGCGTGTGCATGCACAGGAGCAGGTGTGTGCACACACTCGGGTCTTCCCTGAAAGCCTGCCAATGCACTCATCCTAAAACAACCCAGGCTGAGGCTTCTCAAGCAAGGGTTCGCCAGGTGCAGAGGGAGTGGATGGTTGGCAGGATATTCTGTCTGCAGCGGCTCAACTCGCCCACCACAGGGACGGTGTGCAAGCTGTGGTCGACAGGGAAAGCCTCAATGGCTTTCTAGCCTTACTTTGATTCGGGAGAGAGTCACATTGTGTTTATGTTAAAACGAAATGAACCGATGTGATTTTGGAGCTGAATGCAAAGTTTGCAGGTTATGCTGGTCAACAGGAAGAGAGACCCGCCAGACAAGGTTCAGACTTGCAGCATGCACACGTTTCTGGCTGAGGTCCCAGATACGAGGGTCCCACCTCCAGTCTGCTTTCAGGAAAGAAGCAAAGTCCGGGAAGCCCTGGCCAGGATCCCAGGAGCCCCACACCTACCATAGGGATTTCCTTGATCTGTTTTCAACTCCAAGTCCCAGTCCTCCGTAAAGAGGTCTGCCGTCTGTTCCTTGGGCAGGCAACCGGAATCCCCTTCCGGCAGCTCCCAAGCATTGGGTTCCCCGTCAGAATCCTCATCGCCCGGAGCGAAGCCGTCCTCCTCAGAGGGGGCACGCTCATCGTGGGCAGGTCCATCCATGGGGATGATCTGTGCTCCTGTAGCTAACGAACCAAAGAAAGGAGGTCTGAAAACACCGACAAACCCGAGTGCCTCCTGCGCCTGTAGAGGGCGCTGGGCAACAGTCACTGATGGGGTGGAGGCCCAGCCGCTGTGAGATGCCATCCAGTGGAGTCCAGCTCCTGGCCGTCATGTGTGTATAGAGGAGGGCTACCAAGGCTGGGACCAATTGTAGCCCATTGTTAGGCCTGTCTTCTGAGCTGCCTCTGCGTTGGTTTCAACTGCTAACCTTTCAGCTAGAGCACAGGTGCTAACCTTATTTAGCTTATCTACTGTCCTCTTGTCAGGGAGGGGACTTTACTCAGCGCTCCCTTGGCAATTAAAGACTTTTGTCCTATAGCCCATGATCCAGGATAAAGTATAAGTTATCTGCTTCTGCAACCTCCCGGAACCTTCCAGCACCCCACAGGGGATGGCATCGCCCCTTTTGGGAAGCACTGGTCTGGTACTTAACCATGTGCGCCACCAAGAACTCCCAATGAGGGAGGAGGGGCAAGGGCAGGGCATCAAAAAAAAAAAAAGGCACTCAACCCAACGTTGCAATGCATTTGGGGGGGGAAATGTACACATTTAACTAGGAGAACAATAAGTGTACAAAGTTCCTAGTCACCTGAGTATTAAAATGTTCTGTTTGCATTTTCAGGAGTTGGATCAATCACTTCATTTTTCAACTTTTTATTGTGAATTGAGTGAAGGTTTACAAATCACGTTTTACATTCAACAGTGTGTTTCACCTCACTGCATCCCCTCAACGCACCAGCACCTATCCCACCGCCTGCTCCTCCCTCCCTCGCCCTCTAAACCTCGTTCTGGGGTCAATGCTGCCCCGTTGGTCTTAAGTCGTTGCCTCTGCTCAGGTGTGTATACCTCACCAGTGTTACAGTTCCCCTTCTAGACCTGTCTATTGTTTGGCTAGAATTTCAGCCACCAGGGCAAGTGCCATTTCGGATCTGAGGGTGACCAAGAGCCATCGTCTCAGGGGTTCCCCAGCCTCCATCCATCCAATAAACTTGATCTCTTTTATGAGTTTTGTTCCCCATTTTTCTCCCACTCTCTCCAGGATCTTCCAATAAGACGCCTTTCACAGTATTTGGCAGCGGTAGTCAGGCACCATCTAGTTCGTCTGGTCTCAGATTATGAAGGCTGATGTTTGCATGGTGCCTTTCAATTTTCATCTCTTCCTTCCCCCAAATGGGGAGAGACCAATATTTGCACCATAGATGGCCACTCACTATCTTTTAAAGACCCAAGTACTACTCACCAAAGTAGGATTATCTTTGTGAATTATGTTGTGTCAAATGACTTTGGTGTCCCCTAAGACTATGATCCCCCCAGCCCAGTGACTCATTCCATCAAGGTGTTTGGGTATGTCTATGAAGTCTGTCTAACTGCCCCATGTATGCTCCACCATATTAATATATTTGCAACAAAGGATATACAAATATCCTGTCAGATATATATATGCATGTATATATACATATATCTCCATGGGTATATTCTCTTTCCCTCTGTGACAGTTACATAATCATTTGTCAATCTGAGAGGATTAAGAGTGAAGGGGTGGAGTCTAGCCTGTCAATCAGGTCATAGCCAAAAAGACCACTGTGCGGGCATGGCCTTCTCCTGAAGATTCTGGGAACTCCAGTATTCCTCCTTGGAGGCAGGAAACACTCTCTTTCTGCGAACTCCCTGGGGGATATTGCAGCTGACAAGGCACATGGAACTACACTAGTGCCCTGAGCTGGAGAAGCCACATGGAGACCCCTGCCAGTGCTGAGATGCTTACAATGCCACTGGATCCACAAGACTTCCCACCCACTGGCCTGTGATCTTCTTGCATTCGATGCCATTGCATATGTTTTGTGAGTCTGAAGAGGACTTTATAGATTAGTATTGGACATATGGGCTCATATCGGACTTAGGGACTTGATCTGGACTGGGCTGGGATGTTTCCTCAATATTCAATTGCTCTTATATATGAACCACTTTCTTATACACATCTGAGTCTCCTTGGATTTGTTTCTCTAGTCTACTCAGACTGACACACCCTCCCACACCTGTTCAGCCTAAGAGTCTATCCATGCATCCACTCACAGAACACTACTGCAGGATTGCATATTTCCCTCTGCTGTTTTTGACTCTTGCATGGCTCCCAGTGTCTTCCATGCCTCCATCATTTTTTGCCAACCCCCCCCCCCCTGTACTGTATATTATAGCTTTACATCTACTGCTTTTATATCTTACTCTCCTTCCATTGCTTTCCTTTACATTAATCATGTTACTGTATATTGCCTTCCCCTTCACACAGATTAACACTTGTCTACCCTCTAGCCTGGCCCTCCCACCCCCAGTAGCCATCAAAGAATGTGTCTTGTAGTGTGTTGATCATGTTTTGCCTTAAAACAAGGTTGTGGTATGCCAAGTCTAGTAATTCATGGTCAGGAGCCAGGCAGTCTGTATCTTCATGTCACGGAGGCAAAGGACCTCGAACCAATGACATGTTTTCACAGCACGAGCTCAAGTTGAATGTCTGCTCTTCTGGTCCTCCCTTCATTCTCAAAAAGCACTGGGACCAGGGGACAATGGTGGGCACACAGCTGGAAGGGAAGTCCTCCAGATGCAAGACAGCCCCCACGGGCAGCTGGAAGGTACATTTTCAACAGTTGTCAAAAACGATGGAAGGCGATTTGGGCAAGGATGATGAACTGCCAAGTACACCATGCTAGGATGATGGAAGACCTGCCCTCAGAACAGGTCAGGCTGTCAACACTGCAATAGCAGCAGCTTATTAAGCAATGAAGTAACCGTGACGGACATCATCAGGGGGACTGCCTGGGTTCAAATCCCAGTGCTGCTACGTACCCCATGTGATGTGATGTGATGTGATGTGATGTGATGGAGCTAAAGCTTATTAAGTGTCTGTGTCGTGTTTTTTTCATCTGTACAACAGAGATGGATGGAGTTGTTATGACAGTGGGGAATGCGGTCAGACACTTTCGGGAGGGAGGGAGGGAAGAACCAACACTGCTCCCGGCAGTGAGGTCTCAAAGCATCGTTAATTGCTGCAATGATACCTATTCTATGGCTGGTGCTTTACTTAGATCATGCTGCAACAATGGAAATATTCTGTACCCTGTGCTGTCTAGTAAGGAAGCGCCAGCCGCATCTACTGAATACTTGAAATCCGGCTACTGCCACTACACGTCCATTTCCTTTCCTTTTATACAGCACGAGTTGCCACCAGCTCTTGTCCTGGGCAGCACGGTGCGAGGTTCTCTCACCTAATCCTGAGAGCAGCCCTCGGAGATAGGCCTTGTGGCCCCATTTGAAGATGAAGAAAGGCTAAGTGACTCTCGGCCAAGACCATCTCACTTAGGGCTGAAATTTAAAACACTTTGCCAAGCTCCCCAGGTACTCTCCTCACTGTCCCAGGCTGTTGCTCTCAATGGAAGTGATGCGCCTGGGCCTAAGAAAAGCCCAGGGCCCCCAAACAAGGGCACTGTTGGGACAGCCAGCAGAGGTGGCAAGGTGGTAGCCAGGGAAAGGCAACCAGGCCAGGAGGAATAAGAAGCAGAGGGTTAAACCCCCACCTAACTCACAACTAAAAGTTTTCTAAAAAATGAAGCAGCATCAGATTCTCCTCGCATCTCCCAGCCTCCACCCAGTCCCTTGGCATCTACTTGCCTAGTCGGTCCATGACGTTCTCAGTCTCGCTCTCCTTCTGATGGGAAGGCTCAGATGTGGCGAAGCCAACCTGCAGGAGAAAGCAGCAATACATTACCTGGGGATGTGGGTGTCTGGAATGCACTTCGCCTCCAGATCTACGCTGAATCTGCTTTGGGGTTCTAGGCCCGGGACTCTGCACCCCATTTTTCTGTTAGACCTGGCCAGGCTGGGCTGAGAAGGGACTTGCTCCTTCCTAGTCCTTTAGACTATTAGCCCAGCAATCCTTCACCCCTGGCAGCAGTAGTGCCTTCCTACAGCAGTTTCCAAACCTTCCCAGAACTCATGGCTGGGCTGTCTTCAGACGTCTGGGCTCAGACCCTCAGCGATGTGCTTCCAAGGTTAGAGACCCTGGAACTGGTGGGGGAAAGCCCCCCCC